TGTAACACTTGACATTTGAGGCAGACAAACATAGCCTACAGATTCTGTGATTGCTTTGCAACCAGCTAGCATTTTTTAATCGTGCCTGTTCTTGTCAACACTGGGGGTTGTTTCTAAACAAGCCAGCTAAAAATGGAAATTAAATTTAATTTCTAGCTCATTTTCTGAAGCTACAGAAACCCCAGAAGTAAGAAACCTGTATTTTTGCCGCTTCTCTCTCCAAGACCCACACTTTCTAACAAATTCACACCCTTGCTCTCCTGCTGGATAAAAAGGAGGTAGTAAAGGCACTGGGTAGCTCATGTGCCTCTAAGGGTGTGGATCCAGTTTTTCCTCTGGCAGAAAAGGTGATTCAGGAGTTTTTTGCCAAATGGCCCTGCCTCTTACTGCTTCCCAGATGCCACCACTTATAGGGCATTTGTGCTGAGGCAGCTGTTTGTTGAGCTGCGCTGAAATCAAATCATTCAAATGATCCAGGTTTAAAAATATCTTCCTTCCCCCCCAAAAAAAAGGTAAAAAATTTGATGTTGTTCCAGTGACATTCCCATTCAGCACAGCCCTTCAAAGAGCTGCAGCAATCCAAAAGGGCAGTGAACCATGGAACCAAAGCAGGAAGAGGTGAATAGGGATCCAAGAGGCAGAACCTGCTTTGGGTAGCATTGTTGCCCCAGAAAACATACATATAGATTGTAACCAACCACCTTATCCATCTACATTAAAGTAGATTATGAAGCCATTCAGCCCTTCACCTTTCCTTCCTGCTTCCTAAATTTAAGAGTTTGTGATCTTGTAAAATAATACTGCAGTCAAAGTTCTGAATTCCTATCAAGGAGTGTTTTGATATCCTGAAATACTTGACTGGAATCTTTCTTGTATCATTGCTTAAAAGCCAGATGTAGTCTAACCCCGTCACCCAGAGTGTCTGTAGAGAGTGAAACGGGTACCTCCAGAGAGCAATCCACTTCTTTGAAGATGGGACAAATCACCCTCTGGTTGTGCCTTTTTCTGATCACTCCCATTAGAGGGGATGAACGGAGTTTGCCTGAATGGGAATCTTGTTTCTGGATGACTAAAGTTTGTCAATACAGATCCCAGCCTTTGTACCTAAAAGCTGCTGAGGTTAGTGCTGGTAAAGCAGAAATCAATGTGTAGACTTCATTGTATTTCAAATATATAAAAGGCCTAGACTACATATTTTCCCCCAGCATAAACAGGATAACTTCTGGGACCTAATAAATGAAAATGTTATGACAAACCATCCCACTGGCTTCTTTCCTCATCCCCACACCCTTTTACAAGAACCCTATACAGATTTAAGTAGAGTCCTGCTTATGGATGCAAATACTGAAAGATGCTGAATATTTGCAACTTTGAAACGACTCATCAGGCTCAACTCTGAGATCCTTATATTGTTTATTCATGCAAATTCCAGCGTGCCAGATGCTGAGGAGTGCTGAATGGCTGTTCAGTGGGAGTTGTGGTTGCTCAGCACCTCCACAGAATTGGCAAGTAAACTCCAGCCTGGACTTTGCTTATGGGAAAAACAAAACCAACCATCAGTCATGCATGGTGTACTTCTCCCCCCACTTCATGAGCTGGCCTGGTGAAAATTCCTGGTGCTTATTGAAAGCACCATCTGATGTCACTCGATGCCACAAGGGAAAACATAAATCAAAGTGTAAGTATTCAGCACTCTCTCAGCATTGGCCTAATGTGATGAATGTAATCTGAGGTAAACACTTCAGTTATTCCTTATTACTTTTAGGGACCCAAAGGGTTGGGACTTGTTATTCTAGGTAATGTGAAAAACAAGTCCTACCCAGGAGATCTCCAAGGCAAAAATAAAGCTCAGGCAGAAGCTTGACAAGTTACCTAATAGCAGTGGACAGACACAATGAAGTGTTGAATCTGGACTGTCTTAAAGGCATGTGGCAAGGGTTGTGCCATGCTCAGCAGTGAGCTTTCCTCTGGGAGCAGAGTAGGGTTGCAGTAACAGGGAGAGCAAGATAATCCAGCATGAGACTACAAGGACCCGCAGAGCAGTCACATGTCTTAATCCCAAAGACCTGCTTCTGCCTTGTCTTTCACAATCAAAACAGGTGGTTCAAAACAGGTGTTTTTCTGTAAAATCTACAGCTGAACTCTTTGTCTTGGACAATTCCAGCACACTGTATAACTCTGAGTTGTGTGGGCTGCTGTTGGAAGGGAAGAATGGACTTATTAACATGGACAAAGTTGCTGCTGTCATCTTTTGATGGTTTCTTGTCTTACACAAAGAGAGCATACCTCAGTCACTGTGTGATTCAGAGACAAACATTGAAGTGTCACAGGTGTGAAAACACAAGCCTAAAAGCCAAGTAATGGCCCTACTGTCAGTTTTGTGCTTGCTTCACTTCTGGCTGGGCGTGATGGAAAATGATTGGTTTTGGAAAGGCGCATGGAGGTATTGCAGACTAGCAGCCTGCTGAGCGCAGCAAGGTGCAGGGAGCAAATGCTTCAGCCAGCCAAACCCAGTGGGAATGTGTTGGAGTTCCAACATTGTTTTGCTGACACAGGAAGATGTCATCGCAGCAAAATATGAAGGAGTTAACACATTATGAAATACAATTTTGGCAGTGATGCAGACAAAGGTTGTTGTGCTTGAAATGCAGTACCAGCAGCGCTGGTTAACAGGGTAATGCAGTCAGCTTGCCAGTCTAAGTCATTACATTGTGCTTTCTTTCTTCTTATATATTGGGTCCAAATCCTATGAAACACACAGCATAACTTTAAACTCATAGATAGTTCTTTGCTTCAAAGAACTGTAAGTTTTTGGATAGTGGCTGGTTAGAACAGCAAGTGAAAGTGCTAAAGGAAGCCTTCCTTGCACCGAAAGAGAAATGGCAAGGTACCAGTGTGGATTAAAATAAAAAAAAAAAAAAAAAAAAGAAGGAATTGTATTTTAAGCCTCTTGACAGTCCTATTCTTTTACAGGGTGAGATGTGAGGACCATGCCTGCTAACACATCCTGCTGAGGCATTGGTGCACACAATTGTACAACCAGTTTCAAAATTACTCTTAGCTAGTCGAGGCACTCTGACTGCCCTTCCAAAAACAAAGGCAAAATTTTCAGCATCACAAAAGAGTAATGAACCACCTATGCTCCTGCATCTGCCAAGATGAAGAGAGCACCAAATGCCTTATAACTCAGAGTTTAGCCATGTATTTACTGTAGTCAGGTTGAAAGGTTTGCAACCCTCGATTAGTTTCCTGCCTTTCAGCTGAAGATCTGGCCCCCTGGGCCCAGTTCTTTACCATAATTTTCCATGAGCCTGGGAGACAGCCCTTCTCACCAGCATTGCTGGAAATGGGTTTTTGCATTCAAGTAGACAGCTGTTTCTCCCATGTTTTCACCATGCTTGTGGTCTCTATAAAATACATTATAAAGTTGGCAAGCAAAAGCTAACTGTGAGATCCCTGTTTGGGTTTTGCAGTAAGTAGCAATGAGTGCCTTGCTTTGAAAATATGAATCTAAGTCAAAGATTGGTTCACATTTCAAATAGTAAAGCAGTTTCTCAGATAATATTTCATTGAAATTAATAGGGCTGTTTCACTTTAGAGCAATCAAGGATATTGATAAAAATGGCACTGTGAAATCTAATTAGATATAAATAAAGAAACAAGGATCTATTTCTTTTCATACCTTCATGCTGTCTTGTTTGTTGATGACACTGAAATAGGTAGTAACTGGAAAGAAGCCCAATAGCTAATTTATCCTTAACACATCACTAGTTTTTACTTATTCTTGTAGCACACTTCAACAGTAAATACTTACAAAAATGCTTAGTAAAATCACCCATCCCATGCTTCAGTTCCTCAAAAGCATCCCCGTTTCAATGTTTGTTGCTGGATGTATCTATTCGAAACACTGCTTAAGTAACTTTCTGGTTTAGGACGATTCTATAAATGACTGAGATGCTGGAATTCAGAGGATATTTCTTTATCATTTGCCCTCTATTGAGTAGTACGTTGATATCAAATAGTTCACCTGAGATCATGCTGAGATATCCAAAGTAAGCTAAAACCCTGCACAAAGAAGACTGGCAGTGTGGCTGGTTTAATTTTAGGAATGTACAATAATGTATGTGTGCATCTAGGAATACAAAGGGAAAAAAATCCTGTCTATTGCAAGTTAAATTGCGGTTTTAATGATGAAGACACAAGGCTTTCCTTAGCTAGCAAATCACCCATTTTTATATATTTTATCTTTAATAGGATTTCTGATCCTATCACAAAGCAGTCTTCATTCCTTGCCAAAGGAATCTGGAACTAGTAAAATATTTCTGCCTATTACACTGGTCTGTGAGCTATTCAACTAATTTTAGAAATTCCTTTTAATAGCAGCTATTGTATACAAGTCCAGATTCCTTTTTCTACTGTAAGTGTAGGACACCTATGCATAAAATAAGACAGATATAAACTGAAGTTTATATCTCTGTATTATTTACTTCCTGTTCCTCATCGGAGTTCAATTGAAGTGAAATAAATATTAGAAGACTTTAAAAAAAAAAAAAAGAAAGAAAACACTTCCAAGGCAGATTTCATAACAGAAGAACAAGTATCATTTTGAGTGGCAATGCACTGGCAATAACATTTGGCTCTGGTTCACATCAATCTGGAGGCCCAGCTACACAAGCCAAGCTGGCTCAGGATCACTTCTGAACAGGCATTTATCACCTTCAGTGCAATAATATTCCAGAGGTCCAAATCAGGACTAAGCCCTTTGCACAGATGCTACACGCTCACCCAGCATAATCCTTCCTCAGACACTGGTCATGGCAAGAGTCCCTCTGACTTCTTTGGTGTTAGAAGTCTTGTCTTAGCTTCCCAAATTTCCATGCTCCCTGCCTTTTCCCTTATTTCCCAATTCATTCTGTTTCCCTGCATGTTGTGAAATCTTATGGATTTTAACGCAATTCATATTTTCCTCTTCCATTTATCAACCTTTCCTTCCTTTGCAGACTGGTTCTGAGCCATACCCTCAAGGACGAGTGGAGGAAGCTCCCGTGAGCAGTGAGAGGGGTGACGAGCCGGCTCGTCATGTCTTCTCCTTCTCGTGGTTGAACTCACTGAATGAGTGATGACTCACCCTGGCTGGCTTGTGGTGTGCTTCTCCTCAGAAGGATCGTGAGCACAGGCAGCCTGGCTGCAGTCAGCACAGAAACTGGCCTGGGAAGGGGCATCCGAGCAGGTTTCATTCCTAGGAACTCAGCTGACCTCCACACCATACCCTTGAACTGACAGACCTGAGAGGGAGGGGAGCATGGGGACAGATTACTGTATGTATTGTAGTCAGAGTGTTTTCCAATATTTTCTTGCTTCCAAGGGGGAAGAAGCATCACTACAGCTTTAGGCTGAGCACTGCTAGTGTTTTTTAACTCACTTGATGGCACGTCCCCGTGTAGGTGTAAACACTTCACCAATGTTCTTAGCTAAAACGCTGGTATGATATTCTCTAGTAGCATCCTTTGCCAAAACAGTGTTTCTCCTCGGTATCCTCCTGCGTCCCCGCTTGTCAGTGCTGGTGACTTCAGTGACACTATCGTGTCCTTGGCAGCCCTGAGTCGGGGTTGTGTCTAACAGTACTGGTGCTTCCCAGGCTGCGGAGGCTGAACACGGGAGCGAAGAAGGAAGCTGCCATTTCTTCTTTTGCACTTGCTCTTCCTACTACACCACAACAGATGACGCTCGCAGAAACACATTATTTGTAAGGAAAATTCCCAGTGGCAGGAGTGAGGAAGAGACACTTATCAAAAGCACTGGCCAAGACCCCCCCACAGCTCTGAGTGTGTGGGGCAGTTGCTGAAGTGCTGCCCAGTCTGTCCAGGCATAACCTGTGTCCGTGTCTTCTCAGCCATCAGTGTGTGTACAAAAGGGGACATGTTCTTACATGAAACCAGGGTGCAATAAGGTGGTCACAGGTATTCACTCAAGGTTTAATTTGAAGCCCCTGTGCTGTGCTGTAGAAAAGGTAGATGCTGACTTTCCTGTTCCATGTGCATTGCAGATGTTGAGCCATCAAATGAAATCAAATTTGTGTCTTAAAAGAGGCTCTACAAGTTGTACTGAAGGCAACTCTCTGTGGTTTTTGTCACTGTGAGTAGGGTGTCAACACTCAGCAGTGTTTAAGAGATTGGCAGGCTGCCGGGATGCTCGGTGCCATAGGGGACCAGGTGTCAAGCTCTGCACTAGGGTTACGTGTGGATCTTTCCCAAATGCCCGAGCCAGGCCCTCACTGCTCTGTTTTGGCAGGGGCCTGTGTGGGGCCATAAGGCTGCGCTGTGCCCCGGCAGGACTGGTGAGCTGGCAGTGCAGGCTGGTTAGCTGGGGGGTCGACCCCTGTCCTGGACACCCGTTGCTACCGGCACTCGTTGGTGTCTGTTCTCTCTGGAGAACGTTCCCTGGAAAACTCTCCTGCAAGAGTTTTGGAGGCTGCACAGGCGAGCTCCGCGCAAAGCTTTGGAACTCGCACAGCCCAGAACGAGCGCCGCCCAGCACCGCCACCGCATCGCCTCCGGCTGCTGGAGCAGCTTTTCCATGGGATTTGGTTCGGGGTGAGGGATTTACTATTTTCTCCCAGTCGTCCTGGAGATTTCCCCCAGCTCCTCCCGGGAAGTTTCTCCACACCCACTGCAGCCTCCCTAGAAGTCCCTGGGAGGGACCCCGCTCGGGCACGGCCGTCGGGACGGGGGAAGCCGAAGCAGGGAGGAACCTGTCCTTTTGTGTGCGGGAAGGATGCGAAAACGCAAAAGAGATGCGGGAGCGCCTCACCGCTTTCCCACCGCTGCTCCCCGGCGGGAGGAGGCTGCCCGATCCCGGCCACAGCTGCAGGAGGCAGGGAGCTCCCTCGGGGGGCTGCAGAGGTGGGATTCGGCAGCTCTGGGGGGCACCGATTTGCCCTCGACACCGCGCTCCCGGGAACAGCCTGCGCCGAGGGCGGCGGCGGGGGCAGCCCCCGTCCGGGGCCGGCGGCGTCGGGGCGCGACAGCGGGAGAGCCCGCGGAGACGGAGCTCCCCGGGAGGGAGGGAAACATCCCCGGGGGAGATCCAGGGCTTCCCGCGGCTCTGGGTGTCCACGGCCATGGGTGCCCCCCCGCCCCGGTAAGCGCTGAGGGAGGAGGAGCAGCCCTCAGGCGTCTAGGCAAGAAAGTCTATCGAGGCATCTTTACTTTGCAGCTTTTATTAAAAATATAAATATTAAACATTCTCTTACACAACCAAATCGACCGAGCGCTGAAAAGATGTTTTATTGTGAAAATGTTTACAGGAAAAAAAAAAAAAAAGTGGATTGAAAGTAGCTTACAGAGATTCCCCCTCCCACCTCCCTGCCCCCAACAGAAAAGTTTTCTGTCTTCTTGGAACCATTTCTTCCAATGCTCACACATCCCTACGTAGCGATGGCACTAGAATAACTGGGAAATGGAGAAATAAATAAAGGTAAGGGAGGTTACAAACGACACTCGTGTTTCTGCACTTGGTACACGGTTGTGCATGCTAGTCAAGGGACAGAGGCTGTTCGGAGTACGCCCTTCTAGGTTTAAAGCTATATAAAAATAAAGAGATGACATCAGAGCAGCACTATGGTACATCGGACGGTGTAATTATTCTTGTGCTAACTGCGGAATCTCTTTGGCAAGGCGGGGAGGGGCCGTTTCACTTCCCGATTATCTCCATCAGTTTCCTGTTGCTGTGAGCTTGCTGCGCTAACTGCTCGGCTCGGGCCATCTCCAAGACTTCTCGCAGGAGGTGGAAAGTCAGATCCAGAGAAATTGGGGGCTCCTCGGATCGCTTCTCCCTCTCCACCGCCTCACCCTCGGCTTCGCCGTCCTCTCGGTTCCCCGGCGAGCGCTCGGGCAGCTGCTGCAGCTGTTGAACCGCCGCCCGGAAAAAGTTGTTGGCGGAGGCTTCGGGCTGTAGGTGGCTGGTGCTGCTGGAGGAGGCGGAGAAAGAGCCAACGGGTCTCTTGTGGAGGTTGCCCAGGCGCAGGAAATACTCTTCTCCCATGCGGAGCAGGACAGGCAGAGTTTGCTGCTGCTGCTGCTGCTGCTGTCGCTGCTGCTGCTGGAAGAAATCTGGCTGGTGCAGAGCCCCAGGGGCGGGTGCCGGGCTCTTGCTGAGAGCTCTGCACTCCTGACAGGGCAGGAGGGCGACCAGCAGGATTCCCGTGGAGACCAGCAGCGGGATCTTCATGATCGGGGCCCAAACCTGCGGGGGCAGACGGGGGACGGGGGCTGGGTTACAAAGCCGAGCCGCAGCGGCGGGGAGGGCGGCGGGCGGCCGGGGAGGGGGCGTCCCCGCCGCCGCTGTCCCGGTGCTGAAACGCGCCGCTCCGCGCCCCTCCGTTTCCCGCACACCACCCCCGGCCGCGCTCACCCCGGCCCGTCCACCCGCGCCGTCGAGGCGGCCGCTCCCCGCAGAAAAACCCCGCGGAACAGCCCCGCGGAACAACCCCGCGGGGCGGCTCCGATCTGCCCCGGCAGCGGCTCCCGGGAACCAGGCTGGGCTGAGCCCCAGCGGAGCGTCCACGCGTATTCGCGACCGGCGCCTCTTCACCCACCCGGGGAGAGAGGGAACGTGGGGTGCCCGTGGAGGGGCGGCTCTCCCCACCACCTGCGGGGTTCGAGCTCCCGTTCCCCACCTCCCCGCTCCCTGTCCGGCCAGGACAGTTCCCCGTATCCCTCGGGACGCTCAGCCCCGCTCAGCGCAGGGCAGCGCATCCGCTGCGCGCCCGGGCTTGGCCGCGCACCTACCTGGGGCGGCGGCGGCGGCGGCAGCGGCAGGGCAGGGCGGGCGGCGGCGGGACTCGGCGGTGCCCGGCGTCCCTTCCTCTCGCTCTCCCTCGGAGCCGGCTCCTGGCGAACTTGGGATCAGATTTGGTACTAATCAGAGCCGGGGCGCGGGATTTTTATAGCTTAGACCCTCTCCTGGAATCACGCAGAACTTGCCTAATAAGCTGACGCTCTCCCTGACAGCCCGATTGCGTGCCCCGATCTACTGCTGAATAAATCATGGGGGCCCGTCGGAGCGGCGATGGGCCGAGTTTCGCTATCGCAACCCCAAATCTCACGTCCAATTATATCAACAGATATTTATCGCCTCTGCAGTGACGTCAGCCGGGCCGGGGGCCGGGGAGCAGGATGCCCCCCCCACCCCATTGACAAAAATACTTGAATGAGATTTCCTAGCGGGCGCGTACTATGAGAGGTCACTCCGGGGAAACTTTCCACTCACGGGCCGGCCCGCCGGGAGGGACCCGACCCGAGCGGGACGGGGGCTGCTATCCCGGGCAATCTCCTTCTCCATCCCCGGTCTTTCCCGGTCCCCCGGCCTCCGAGCCCGCCCGCACGGGGCGACTGCGACGGGTCGGCGCAGGAGGCTCCGCGGGGCGCGTGTTTTGCGTGGGTCCCGTCTTTGCTCCGCTCCCGGGGTCGGTCCTGGTGGGGGCAGCGCTCTGCGAAGCGGGCAGGGGCGCAGCCGAGCCCGCGGGGCAGAGGCAGGGCAGGTGCCAGTGCCGGGAAGGAGCCGGGCAGCGCTGGCACCGGAGCTGCCAGGGACCCCGCCGGCGGGAGAGAGGGCGGGAACGCCCCGGGGGCGGCGGGGAAGGCCGAGACAGCCGCCAGGGCCGCCTGGGAGCATCTGCCGGGGCAGGGAGCTGGCCCGGGGCGCTGCGCTCCTTCTGCCCGGGCCGCTGGCAGCGCCGCCGGCTAACCCGGCTAACCCGGCTAACCCGGCTAACCCGGCTAACCCGGCTCCGCGCTGCCGGCACCGCTCCCGCCGCCCGGGCCCTGCTCCGCTCCGCTGCTTTCCCTCCCTCTGCCTGGAGGCAACAACTGCTCCTTTTTATCCCTTCTCGACCCCGCTAGCTGATCTTCCCCACTTCTTCAAGGCCACGGCCGTGTGCTTTCCCTGTCTGCCCTCCTCAGCTAAGGCCTTCCCCTCCGGCCTGTCCTAATGCCACGTGGAGCCTTTCTCGAGGTGTTCTCCCATGACCAGTATGGCTCCAGACCATATTACATCAATGTCTCCACCTGGGTTTCTTGCCCTCTGATCTCTTCAAGAAGAAGTGCTGCCTATAGAAATAACTTCTGCCCAACATCCATTCCATGTGTAATGTGTGTTCTTCCATTTTTGCATCCCATTATCTTTGCCAATGTCTCTCAGCCCTCCTTCTCCACTGCCTCAGTTGAAACATCAGTCATATCCTTCCCTTTAAATTGGAGAACTTTACAGAAAACCTTTGTCCAGACAATAAACTCCTGTGGTCACACACTTGAGTGTCTCCCATTGTAGTGAGGAGCTGGGACAGAACAGGTGGTCACATGATATTGATGCAAAGTGATAAATCTGAACTCCATTTCCTTAATAAATAACAAAGTCAAAACTACTTAATGTATGAGGTTGGCCACAGCCCAGTTCTGAGCATCTCCTTAGGGATGCTCTAAACTTCAATTTTAGTTGTACCTAGCTGCAGCCTCAGATGCATTTTTTGCAAAGTGCCAAAGAATCAGATCTTGTGCGTCATGAAGAAACAAATGGAAGAACAAGTAGTAGTACCACAGATTTAGCTCTTCATTACCACTTTTTGCTCAGGCATCCATGAACTGAAACGTGTATTACAGAACAGAATATGTTGTGTAGCTAGTCACAGCAGCAGTTATTTGAATGCTTTTAAAGCATGTCAGCATGGCTTTCAGTGAGAACAAGAGGTTCAAAGAAACAGGAGCTAAGTTCAATCAACTGAAGGAAAATGTAAGAGGTACTTATTAAACTCAAACCCTTCAGATGTACTCTGGATTGGGCTTTATCACAGTGTCTCCATTTTTCGGTTTAACATATTCTTTTAAAAAATAAAATCCTCTTAAAGTAATGTGACCATAAATGTAAAAAAAAAAAAATTTGATCAAAATAGTATTTTGTGTGTGTGTGTTAGGGGTGAGATCTGGATAAGACAGAGCGATTGATGCCAGTGAGAAATGGCACAGGTTATGTTATGTTTTTAATAATTTACAATACTATTTAAGTCTCTTTAGGCAGACAGTTTTGTCCCTTGAAAAAATCCATGTATAACAAATGCAACATAGAAACAGGCTGGGGTCCCTAAGTTCTCACAAGAGCTGTACAACCTGCCAGTTTCTTCTCCTCCATTTTTTTTCCTCACTCCTGGCTCTGAACATGGTCTGCAATGTCTCACAAAAGCTTGTTTCTAAGCCAACATGGTCTTATTACCCCACTTTTCTCATGGATCCTGAGTGATGTGTGAGAGGGCTTGCAGCAATGCAGGGAACACTGTGAGACAGTCGGATGTCTTGATAACGAGGAATATAAAATATCACAGATACATAAACCAAAAAGCACTTCCCTCAGCACTTCAAATGCAGAACTGACTGCCTAGGAATATAAAAGTCCTTTCTCCAGAGTCACTAGCTTCTGAGTGAAATGTCAGCTGTCACTCCTGAAGGAGATTGCAACAGAAGAAATCTTGGCTTCTCACCTGAGGGGTGAAAAAGGAAGGCAAGGAGGATATCAGGTGCATCTGGATTAGAGATTTTTGTTTAGTGTTATAGTTTGAGATTAGCATACCCTTCATAAGAAAAGTGTTCATATTTGACTCACTCTGCAAACATCAGGAGCAAACAGAAATTTTAGTGAATCACAAAATAACATTGTCTAGAAATAAAAAGTACTATTGAGACCCATTTCCTCTCCTCTGACTTGGGTTGAGTGCTCCTGCCCTTTAGCCTCAGTGATCTCAAACTCAGGCACCCACAGAAAAGCAATTACAGCTGCTCTGAGGTAGCTCAGAAAGCAAAAGCATGCCCAGAGCATGAGGCACCCCGCTGCAATAGGGCACCTTCAGGTTCCTGGAGACATTCACCTTGTTCCCTTGTCTATAAAGGGAGTGCAGACAGCCACCTTTGCCTGGCCACTGGATTCTTAGACAGCCATGTGAGGCGAGAAGAATGCCCTCCTCACTGACTGACCACAGCACAGAGATCACCCAGCTCTAAGTATGGCAATACAGAGGGGATGATGTTAAACTGAGGGTATGGCTCTTACCCCAGGTATTTCTGAAGATGTCCAACTACAAACGTGGAAGGACACACACCACATGTAGATCAGCTTTCTACCACAGTGCAATATTTCATTACCACTTTGTCAGAAGACTGTAAGGATTTTTTTGCATTGGTGAGTTCAGCAAACATTTCCACATCTCACA